TATTTTCAATTTCGCTATCTTTTCGCATTATCGCAACCACCACCACCAACAACACCACAATTCCGAATCTCAACCACATTTGCGACTTTGACAAAACATCGCAAACATGGCGACGGAATTGACTGTTCAGTCGGAGCGTGCTTTCCAAAAGCAGCCCCATATCTTCCAGAACTCCAAGGTCAAGGCCAAGTCCACGCGACCTGGCAAGGTGAGGCGACGCCATTATCTTCCCTTTTGATTGACGGCACCTTTTGCTGACTATGTTTTACTCTTCAGGGTGGCCGCAGATGGTACAAGGATGTTGGTCTGGGCTTCCGAACCCCCAAGACCGCCATTGAGGGAAGCTACATCGGTATGTGAATACGCGAATATTAGTTGGAAAAAAGATTCAGGGTGTTTTATGTCGTAGGATGGACTATGAGATCAGCATGATGGTTGCTTTGAGTCATACGAAGCTTGCGAGCCAGGACGACAGATATCTACAAGCGATGAGGGAGCACGAAGCTAATTCTCGTGTCAACACAGACAAGAAGTGCCCTTTCACCGGTCTCGTCTCCATCCGTGGCCGTATCCTGACCGGTACCGTCGTCTCCACCAAGATGCACCGAACCGTCATCATCCGACGCGAGTATCTCAAGTTCATCCCCAAGTACGCCCGTTACGAGAAGCGACACAAGAACTTGGCCGCGCACGTCTCGCCGGCTTTCCGTGTTGAGGAGGGTGATCAGGTCACAGTCGGCCAGTGCAGACCTCTAAGCAAGACTGTATGTTACCCCTTGTATTTCCTCTGACCTATTGGCATACTATGCCGTGGACGAAACGATTATCAACTCCGACCCATTACTGACTTATACAACGCAATAGGTCCGATTCAACGTCCTTCGTGTACTTCCCCGAACCGGCAAGGCGGTGAAGAAGTTCAGCAAGTTCTAAGTTGGGGATCTTTCCTGGGCATCGACGGCGTTGTTACTTCATGGTTCTTCATGATCTCAGATTCGGAACGGGTGATTCATAGGCTTTCTGCCAGGGCACATAGATGCAGCATGGGCAGTTCTGAGAAATAAAAAGGATATACCAAATTTTATACGCGTTCCGAAATGGTGTAACTGGTTTGACAGCGCGTGCTTGCGGCCAGCAAGCTTTGAGGTGAAGGGCGTGAATTTGGTAGACCATCCGAATTTGTTAGTTTGGGGCGCATACGAGTGATTCATCTTGAATCCGTTTGAAATCCAAGCATCCCGCAATGATCCCTTAAGCGTCTACCGACCCCAATTTCCTAGTGTCTATTTGGCCTGTGACTCGTCCGTAGAGCCTGGAGAATGACTCCTCTTCAAGCGAAAGTTATGATGCCAGCCTACCGATAATTGGCTCTGTATCGATCTGAACTTCACTTCCCATATTGATTCCGAATTCCAAGCAGTCATACGATGTGGTATTCACAGTACGGCAATCAAGCTTCTGACCACCTAGGGAACACATTATATTACCGTACAATTGCAGCAAAAACATTATATCTTAGGCAGTCAGCTGAGAAACCACACAAACAACGAGGAAGCAGTGATTACCTAGTCTCATGGTTATAAACCCTGCCTACCTCCTAAATGACAAAAGCGAACTTTTTCTATTGAAGACGTAGCAACACTCACCCACGCTGTAGCCGAAAGCATCATAGGGAGTAGAAAACACGATGTATCTTGTGGATTCGTCTAGTTCTTGCTTCTTGTGGATTTACTCGTATATCGCCGTTCGGGATCGCTAGCTGTAAGGTAGCTTCCAGCTGAGTAATAGCATAGCAGAAATACCTCCAATAATATAGTCTCACGATATATTCCTAAACACTGTAGTAACAGGTTCTAGGCAATCCCGATTAAGTTTCCTAATCTACGATGTGTCCTTTCATAAAATGGTGACCTTAGATCTCGTAATGCCCTTCATAAAACGCACCAGCTAGACTTCCTGAAAGAAGGTACGGTTATTCAGCTAGAATTGATTGAGACCTAGATATAGGAATCATGTGTTATATCCCACGCACACACAAGGACGTTGTTGCCTTGATAGTCTATAGAAGAATGATATAAGGATTATAATTTGCTTCACGTTAATCTCTCGTTGAACGACGATTACGTCAGGACAGAGATGCCGAAGTTGAGGGGTGCCGCTGAAGTGAGTAATGGCGTCAATTTTATTTTATCTAGTCTAACAAGGTGAGAACCTCCTGGCACTATATGTTCTCAAGTAAACATCAATATCGTGACATTTTAGGCGAGTTTCACTGTAAAACCTCCAATATTATAGTCAATCAGTCTTCATACCGATACACATTGACACCTTCGCTCTTGTGGCATCTTTAGCTGAAGATAAAAACTTCCTTGGTACCTTTATTATAGGAAATGCTACTAGTGTATGGTAGATTTCGGTCGAAATTACTATTCAAGATATCTTGCAAGTGTTTCTATAGCCAAATTTAGAAAATAGGCCACGATATCCATGTAGCATCACGGCTCACAATGTAAATAGAATAAGGAAAAAGCAATAAAGTTATTTCAGTGTCAATATTTCCATTTACTATAAGTCCAGCATCCAACCACATACGAGGATCTCCAAGTAATGGAATAAGCCCCTAGTTATTATACCTAACTATAGTATAATTACCTAGTAATTGGACATAGTTTATAGAACGAAGATCGTGGATGAACAAGTAGAAATGGCTTCGAGCCTCTAGGTCAATACTGTGCTTGATACGATGAAGGATTTGGAGATGTATGGATCACTTGTTTTCTTCGACGTCACCTGGGCATTTTAGAATTTATTTATTTCCTATCCATGTAGTGTCAGAGAACGCAAGTGCAAGCAAATAAAGAGAATCTGACCTTCTTGGTCCTGGTACGAGGATAGAACAGTACCTTATGCAGGGGATAGAGAGCTTTCTAAATTTATCTCCACGAGAAACTCGCAAAGCCTCATTCACATCTTAATTAGAGCCCTGCCCTGATAGATAGCAGCGAAGGATATAGGCTACTACAGCACATAGACTTTAAATCTGTTGAAGAATAATGTCATTTTTGACTCTGACCAAGTTTATAATATACTAAGCTAACTTGCTTTGTCAACTATGTAGTTAGTCGAGCTGTACTTCAAATGGGTTTAACAACCACACGAAACTACAAAATAGATTGGACGAACGAAATCACAAGTCAGTACAAGGATAACTACCTATTTATAAGAGTTCAACGATTACAAGCTTCCTGAAACATGTGTTGTACTCGTGGTACGGAAGTAAAAGTCACGATAACTAGATTATCACGCTTAAATACATATCCATCTCCGATAACGATAACGAACATTTTTGGCATTACGGACCTTCAAGGTCCCTCAATGCTACCAGAGAGAGCTTTACGGAGCCAACTGACCATTACCTCCTTCTCCTAGACTTCGCGATCCGTCATGGGCTGGTGGGATAGTCTCTGGGCGTCGAACTCGAGCAGCGAGGATCCACTGCGCAACCTCGACCCCAAGCTCCGCGAATTCCTCGAGCGGGAGTCGCCCGTGAAGTACAGCGCCGCGCAGCAGCAGCAACACCCCACCCCAACCGAAGAGAAGCAGACGACCACGACCACAGCAAAAACGCAAGTCGAGGATGGCCAGACGGATAGACCGGTAGTGCCCAGGGAGAGCCAATTCCAAGACGGACGCTACGCGCACCTATGGAAGACGTACAAGCCGCTGGCCGAGATCGAGGCCGCAACTAAAAGCGACCACGAGAAGCTGATGGACGTGTTGGAGGCGTACAAGGAGCGCAAGAACCAGATCGGCAAGGCGGCGCTGGAGAACTGCGCGCTGGAGCAGCTGGACTGGCGACAGTGCATGTCGAACCCGACGTTTTCGGAGCGCATGACGCTGTGCCGCGACCAGATTAGGAAGTTCGAGAGGTGTTATTTGATGCAGACTGTGAGTGCACTTATTCCACGATATCCATTCATTATATTTACTCTCTGTATTGCTGCAACTTGGAACGGTTGTGCTAATTATATGTCTATCTGCTGCCATGTAGAGATTATTAAAGGCCCTAGGCTACCTATCAACCTACGACCGCTCCCCCGAAGTCGAAGAAGACATCCAATTGCACGCTGACGCACTGTACCACCGCTTGCTCTCGCAAGAAGCCGAGGTCGCGGCCGCGAAGAAAGAAGGTCGTCCGATACCCCAATTCCCACCATTAATACCGCGAGTGTCCGTCGCGGCGGGTCAGCAACAGCCACAGAAACAGCCGCAACAGGACGTCGACGAATTGACGCAAGAACAGCGGTCGATACTGAAGAAGCGGTTAGAAAAGGTCGCCGAGGAAGACCGCGCCGCGGAAGAAGAAGCTTACAGGGCAGAGTTGCGCGCGAAGTCCGAGGTCGCGACTGTGGTGCAGGATCTGTGGAAGAAACAGGAACAAGAGAGACAGGAGCGGAAGGAGAGAGGCGAGGAGACGTTATGGGATAAGCTTAGTGGGACTTTTCGCAGTGATGATGGGAAGCGGTGACATGCGCTTCTTCATTCTATCATTGGAAGATATGCATGGTATAGGCAACTTCTAAACATGAAGCTCATGAAGATTTGAAGGGATGATTGAATACAAGTAGCTCTCTGACTTGCTCAGAACTACTGGGCTGATTGTATTATTCCTGTATGGGACATCCATATGTGTATATATATACTATGGCCATCTAAGATAATGCAACTCCAAATAAAATACGTCAAGATAGTAGCAAGACCTGGCTTCTATGCGATTTAGTTGTGGTGACTATGTAGGTAGGTATCTAAAATGATTCCAAGAGAGAGTCTACAGTTTCGAAGCTGTTTTGATTTTTAACTACTCAAATTTGAAGGTGATTTTGAGTGCGTCTTCTCATATGGGGAAGGAAAATTCTATCTATTCACTGACATGTATTTCAAAAAGGACTCAAATCAAGGCAAAGAGAAAAGAAAAAGAAAAAATCATTGTAAAGAATTGAAGGTCTCCCTGGGAATCGAACCCAGATTGGCGGAATGTTAGAATCAAGAATCTTTCAATCCAAGAGTCAGAATCCGCAGTGCTAGCCATTACACCAGGAAACCTGTGATTGGTGATTGGTGATTCTCAAAGCCTGAAATATTGGTCTAAGTACCCATGACATAGTGGGCACATGCGGAGACATTTTAACCAAATCAGTTTTCATCACTAAGAACATGCCAAGTAATTGCATTTTATTCTGTATTTACATACCCCGTTCTAGTGCATTAGGCAGCACGAGGAAAAAACCCTTCTAAAACAAAGCACAATAGGCTCTGCCGTTCAATTAAAGATGAATTAGAGTAGAATTAGGAATGTAGTATTATCATGTAGCATGTCTCAAGTGAAGTAGTCGTAAGAAGAAATGGTGCAACATCGGACGAATGAACCGTGTCAATTGTACCTAGTCGCAAATCACATAATACTCCAAGAGGATCAGCAAAACCTTGGCTTCTTGGCTGATGATTAACATGACAACTGGAGGATGAGCGAAAAATTAGGGTCCCGTTTGACAGCGACTTGGGGGACATGCGTCCGCCAAGAGATCGCCAAGACATGAGGCAAATGCTTATTTCGACAAGTTTGACCCGAAATAGAACGGATGCTGGACTTCATCTTACTCTCGTTGTTGTGGTTGTCGTTAATAGCATCTTTCCTGGCCCGGGAAGACGTCTCGCGACGTGTGCTGGCGATTGGAGCTGCTGTAACACGGGGAATTCGGTCAAAACTCGATCACTCAGCACCACCTTCAAGCTCGCGACGCCAAAAACGACGAGGAATAAGAAAAGCAGGAATTTATATCTCACTTTAGCCCAGCACAGGGTGATAACGGCCATGAAAATTCGTTGAAATATTTTGATTGATAAAAGCAATTCTCTCTAGCAAAAGACAGGACTTGCTCGCTTGCTACCAGCAGTATTTATTTCATTTGATCCCGAATACCGCAACATCCCCCAGAGTTTTCCGTGCTGACACATTGGTGCATGCTCACGCCGCCATAATGGTCCTAGGCGGGGTCGATTGCTCGATCGATGTGTTGGTGCGATGTGGCACTTGTTTCACAGCACTGCGGGAATAATTTGTGCGGCAGGGAGGTCGATGACCGGGAATTTAGCAGCAGCCTTCGTCGCAGGCGCAGAGACCGCAGCAGATCTCGCAGCCGGCCTCCTCACCACCACGCAGGTTACCGAATTGGGGTTGTGGCTCGGTGGCCTAGTCATGAAACGAGAGTGTCAATTGGGACTTCTCGGTATGACTTACAACTCAGTGGTGCGAGGGGTAGGAGAAAGAATGACTTACGGGTTGTTGCGTAACGACGCCAGTGGTGGAGGTCATCTCCATGGGAGCTTGCTGCTGGGGTTCTTCGGGAGAAGGCATCTTGATGGTAGTCTTGTCGAAAGGATCGATTGAAAGCGTGCGAGTGAGGTAGAGAATGACAGATGGCAAACAGACTAAAATGGGCGACTATGGCGAGAGAAACAGGAGTGCTGACAAGAGCGGTGAGGATGTCTTTTTGTATGTTGGAGAGAGATGGGAGGCCGCCCTTTATCAGTTGGCGGGTATAACGGCAATGGGCAGCAGACTGGTCCAATGATCCTACCTCCAGTTTATAGGCTTTTCAGGCTTTTGTTTGGGTGTACAGTCACGTATCAAACAGGGGCTAGACCCCAGAACTTTAACAGGTTTCTAGGTGACTTTTATGGGATCATGGGACCCTTGTCTTGATTGGAAACAGCGCGGCGCCAGAACCAATCTGCAAGCCTGGGAAGCCACGAAGTTCGAAGATGTTTGCCGGGTCACCATTGAATGAACTTTGAAGATCCCTAGGGGAAAATAATACGACTGTATGTAGGTACCTCTTACCTGACTTACCTTAGAAGTAGGAAAGTCCGTTGTTGTCACCCAGTCTTGTCGTCAGCACTTGCGTTGCTCGATCCATTGGATGTGGCGCTCCTCATCCGCTCATTTGCATGATACCTCTAATTGGGGATGGGCTTGCAGCTCGTACAGAGCCAATCATTTCCCCACGATGCTCTGATACGGGGGAGCAATTACTACTGCTGTGCCTATAAGTCATCGTTCCTAGGTTTCAATTAAGCTGAAAAATAATGACATGTCAACTTGGTTGGTCTGTTTATATATATCTCATCTGCATTGCTCGTACACGAATAACCGATAAGAGAGCTCTAAGCGCGTTCTTTATTATACCTAGACAAATCTAGAATGCTTACCAAAGATACGACATCCCGCAATTGGCGCTGTTGTACAAGGTAACAGCTCAATTGGAAGATATGGACATGTACCTACCTTAACTAGCATTGTGGCCATGCCCTCCCTACATGTATGCGCGTGTCTTGCTTCTCGGTAGATACGAGTTGAAAGCTGCGGTTATTCCCCACCATTTCCACTCTCATATCACAAGTCATACCGACAGAATGATACTATGATAGTCAATATTAGATTGAAGGGGATGACTATGATAATGACTATGATATGGGTCTCCTTGTTGATCTTTCCAGGTTCTTCGGTAGTGCTATAGAAGGGTGACGTAGTCAGTTCAGCTATGCAGGGCATCTCTATCTGCTAGAGAACATGGTGGAAATGTGTGATTCTCCTCGAATGGTTCCGCAATGGCTGAACGCCCCGTACCTACGTTTGGGCAAATGGAACTTGCCGAATTCCGAGGTCGGCTAAGCTCGGTGGACATCCATGGATATTAATGGTACGACGTTGCGCGTCAATTGGAAGTATTAACCTATATATAATTCAAGCCTAACTCCCATAACTGGTAATCATAGAATCTAAGTTATGATAACAATCTTACCAACGGATCTCAGATAAACGATTGTTCTCAGAAGTGTCAAAATGGCTGGACTCACAGTCAGTTGATATAAGAAGATTTAGTTATTCGGGTTTAGGTAAGCCCCTATCTCATTTCATTGATGCTCTATCGATAATCCTCATAACCGCTATTATGTAATGTCCCTGTAAGAAATCGTATATGCAGGTATCCCTTCACACCCGCCATTGTACAGTACCGCCCGACAGCGCCCAAACCCGGTCGTACCCAATCCCACTCAAGTCAACAAGCGCGCGGAGTCGGAAACAAACACCATGCCTCCTTCGTGCAATGCAATCAATCCATCCATCAATTAATCAATCAGACGGTGTAGTCCACAATGACGCAGGGCACCCCTCCTATCTTAAGCGTGCTGGGGTCGACTTTCTAGCTCATATGAGCCACCGGTAGCCTGCGGCGCATAGGCAGGAACGGGGTATCCATACTGAGGCGGCACCGGCGAAGAGACCGGCGCGGGGGACTTGTACTCGGTGCTGACGCCAGGAGTGTAGTATCCGGCCTGCGGCGCGCCATACTGGGCTTCCACTAAACCAGGGTTTGCGGTCGGCGCGTAGTTCCCGGCCCGCAATGTGCCCGTTCGCTTGCGGTGGACGAGCATTGCTCCGTGGATGAGCTGTAGCAGGGACGTCGCACTACTCGGGTATTAGCTATTTACGTGCCAGCTACTTCACTTCTATAGTGTTGACGTAGGCGAGTCTGGGTAGGTGGTAGTACATACGTTAGGACTAAAGTCAATATGATGGAGATGACCGATAGGGTGACAATATCGAGGATGAAGATGATACCCCAAACGGCGGTTTTGATGCACGCGCTGGAGAGATACAACTCCACTGGCATGCGCTTCTTCGCGATCAGGATAATCTCGATAATGTTTAGGATAATGTTCACGAGGACGATGGCGATTTGGAGCCCGGCAGCCGCGCTATGTGTTTACAATGTGATGTTAGCTCATCTCATCTCCACCCAACTCAAGTCTACTTTTCCCATTCGGGATCGTGGAGCGCATACGTGAAAAGCCCACTATATCTCTCGAGAACATCCTCCCGATTCACCAACCACAATAGCCATGCCGACGCAGCGAGAAGGATAATGCAGACGAGGAACTGTAGAACCCAGGCTGTGATGTTTATGCCCTTCTTGTACGGGTAATCGTGTGTGGCCATGACGTCGATTAGCGATGGCCCGCCTTTCTGTACTACTGTGGCTTCGGTACTGATAAATATGATAAAAAGCAAAATGCTAGGCGAATAAAATAACGAATGAAAGGGGGGTAAGGAAAAACGAAGGCAGATTGTGAAGAAAAAAAAAGCAAAATTGAAATTTTGAAATTTTCCTTACGAGACAAGCCTTTGCAGAGCCGTAATTAACCTGGCACTATACGGTCGCAACTCCCCCGTGTTTTTTTGTACGTGTTGGTTGTTGCTGGTGGTGTTGGCTCCAGTTGTGTAGGCTGTGTAAATGCCAAGAGGGTCGGCGCGCTTAAGGCTGACACGGTTTAAGCGTGGTGATTGGAAATTGCGAGCTCCACGGTGGGTTTAATCTTGCTATGTTGGAAGCTTGTGCCGCAAAGATACGATCCTGATATCATTCAATCTTTTATATGGAGAAGACTACCATGATATTTTTGACAATCTCTACGTCTTTAATTCATTGAGCTCAGATTTAAGCTCGGGTGGCGCGTCTAAGGGAAACGTAGGAGATGGTAGGAATTGTTTTCGAATGTGTTTCTCCTCAGACTTACAGACATCAAAATTGTTTGTGGCGTTCTTCCTCCTCTACGACTATATCGTGGGAATCATAACATCTCGAAATTTGAAGCCATTTTCATTTCTTCTATAGGGAGCCAAGTCTATATCAACCTACCAAGACCCTAGACTGATCACAAGGGTCTAGGCTTTTTGCCAAGGCTCAAGGCTGAAGGCGAGAACCGGGATTATGAGGACCGAACAATGTGCGACATAATCCCCCATGAATTACTTGCATTCGTCTGGACTTTGGGAAGGAATAACTCTCTCGAAACTTATCATCTGATTCTCTCCCCGATGTCTTGATAAGAATAGTCTTGCTGTAGAAAGTTTGTTGTATAGTAGATTTTGATGACGTCCGAGGATCGCTACATGTAGTTGAGCTAGCCATGTACCTAGGTACCTAGGTGGGCAGGGTGGGCTTGAACTCCGAAGCGAAGACTTGGCAGTCTAGACGTCT